AACTATGTTTATGAACGGAAATAATGTGTTAATTACGTAAAGTTTGAAAGCTAATAACCAGAAAAAGTCTAATTTATTTTTACAAAGAGAAAGATGCAAAGTTATCATATCTTTGCTTGCGATCTCCGAGATCTGTGGACACAGTGACGTCATGAGGAGGAAAATCGTAGCTTCAGCTCTAAGAGCGGAGTGAACTAGCCCTTCTATTCTCTTTAGCCCTGGATCAGACCACCGTGAAGGTAAACTAGTTCACGAAAGAGCTATTTAATACGAAATCTAATAAAAAGAAGAAAGTGGTAGAAAATATATGTCTAAAATTTGTTTAATTTATGTATATGATTGGTTTGTCTTATTTACTTGTCAATCACTACAGATTCAATTCTCAAATATATATGATAAATTTCCCCCCAATTATTTTTAAAATAGGGGCCGAGCTGTATTGCTTGCCTAACGCTGTGTAAAGCGTGGAGGTAGCGGGTTCGAATCCCGCCGCTACCCTGGATGTATCTTCATACTGTATTTCTCTGTATTGCGCTATCTGTAATTCCATTTGACAAAGGTTTATAAGTCTAAAATTGAGCACACAAGCCTGCAAATGTATGCAAATTCAATGAACAATACTTTTAAAATAGAATTTGGGTATCAGCGCAGACTACTTATAANTTGTACTTTTTCCCTAAAAAAGTAACGAAAGTACAAATAAAAGTACTAAATTTAAAAAGTAACGCAGTACAAGTAAAAGTACGTATTTTTTACTTGTACCGGCGGTACAAGTAACGAAAGTAAAAGTACTGCCATGTATGAGGTTTATACATACATGCAAACTTGCACATACATACCGCTCCTTTGAAAATATTACTTAAGACAAAAATATATGATCTTAACGTATCGCATTATAAACTGAAACGTATTATTGCTTTCTTCCTCCCACTCCCTACGTACCAGAGAAGTGGAGACACTTCGTATTCAATCAAGGAAATTTTAAAAAATCCTGGTTTAGAATATAAAATTAAATTGCTTAAAAACTGGGATCTATAAGGGGAAACCGATCGCAGATTTAAAATAAGTGGTCCGAAAACATGTAAGGTTCTTTCTAAAATCTCCTGCATAACAGAAAGCAAAAACTGTTCCCCAGTGTTTTTCTATGCAATGGTGGTCAAAATCAGTTTTTTACTAAATCAAATGCTAGAACTTAAATTTTGTTCCCCCTGAAAAACATGTCTATTAAAAGCAGAACAAGTTCACATTTCAGTGTAGTAAGACTTTAAAAAAAATAATAATAAAATTTTTTTTATTTAAAAAAATTAAAGTTAGTGAAGGAAAACTTTTTATTACCACTATTTAATTAAAAAATTACAAATTAAGTTTATAACAATCGTTATTGAGATCAAATAATGGCTTAAGTACATTCCTTTAAAAAAAATGCTGTCTAACGGCATGTTTCAAAGAAAAATAGACTTTAATTAGTAAGAAGTCAGGCTTTTAAGTTAGGTTGAAATTATAATACTGATCAGTCAATAAAGTATAGATATCTGGTGGGGTGTTTAACTTTTCTTGTGCAGTTAAGAAGTTTAGCTCAAATTTTGTATTTTATCATGCAGAATTATATATATTATAGTGATGTAAAAAAATTTTACACTTTGCAATTCAAAACTTTTTCGACTATTATTTAATAAAATAATAAATATTTACTAAATTTATGTTCTGCAAGGAATTATTT